AGGACCCCTCAATTATTTATATCCTGTTGGTTTCTTGCTATTTTATCTCTTTATTTGCTCACTCTTCCACTTTCTTTCTCTGCTTCAATTTCACCAAAAACTGGTGACTTGATCACTAGTACTTTTTTCCTCTCAGCTATAAATTTACAGTGTCTGTGCACTTTATAGACAGTGAACAATTGTACCCCTGTTAGATTCGGTAAAAAACCCAATAACACGTGACAAGTAAATCCAAGATTCCTGAAAAACCAGATTTTGTCTCCTGACCTCTCAAAGCTTTATGACGCAAGCTTTAGAATGAATTCAACTTCAAAGCATCCTGCCATCATGATTAATGAATTAGGAAAGGCCTTTGGTTAACTGAACTGAAATACATGAATTGTGAAGCTTAGTTAAGTCTCAAACTTATGGTACTCTAAAACAGGGGTTTCCAACCTTCACAACTTTACCCTGGAGGACTTCAACTCCCAGAATTCTCCAGTTAGCAAGCTGCCTGGGAAATTCTGGGAGCTGAAGTCCTCCAAGCTTAAAATTGCCAAGGTTGGAGATCCCTGCTCTAAAATGTCCTAGACATAAATCAGATAGGGACCAAAAATAAGAGCACTTGCTGTTTAATATTTTTTTTAAAAAAAAATAATAGATTGCTTTTAATTACTACCTACATAGTAACAATTATTATCCTCCAAACATAAAGAAAGCCTCCTAAACATGAAAGCTTCAATCCAACCATTCCCACTCACCTACAGACAGTGACAGCCACTCCCAGGATGGTGACAGTTGTGAGAACATGTTCTACAGCTAGTACATCTTCATCATAAATTGTGAGGGCAATGAGGACAGCAAGGATAGAACCAGCAAAGAAGGCCACGTTCTTCGCCACAATAGTAAACAGGGGAGAAATGAAACAGTTCATGTACTTGGAAGCTGGCTTATAGCCTTTGCTGAGTCTCGAGTGCAACTCATGGTCAAGCTCATTAAAATGTCGCAGGTAGCAGCGGCCATAAAGAGACCAGCAACGGGCACCCAGGCTGCCTGGTTCTCTCTTGAGAATTTCAGTGTAACTGAAGAAAGCATAAAGAATCTGCCATATAAGTATAAGTGGACAAAGGAGAAAATTAGCAATGCCAATCCATAAGATACGGGTGCCCAGTTTGTCAGCCAGCTCCATGCGATTGCTACCACGCTTGTACTCAGCCTTCAGACTCCATTCGTTCTCAAAGAGTGAGCCAGGGCCCCAAAAGAAAATGAGTTCAAAGTTGTACTTGAGACCACGGGTATAGAAGACAGTATCTCCCAGGAGGGGAAGATGGAAGCGCACAGGCAGGAGTGACTTGTTCACTATGGCTACCATGTAGTTCTTGAAGCGCAAGATGCGGTGGTAGATGTCCAGTTCTGTCAGCTCCTTCTTATGAATGCAGATCTGGTGCTCCTTTTGGATTTGTATAATCCGTGCTTGTACCTCCTGCCAGGTATAGTAGGGCAAATTGGACTGCAAGTAAGTAGACAGAGGGTGTAAGTGGTATGATAAGGGCAATGGGATAACTTTCCCTGAATTGACTGGAAGAAGGCAATAATTTTACCACTTCCTATGCTAATTCCAAAAAACCCCAACATAGCCAAGCTTCAGTGAATCATCCAGTCTGAGAATTATTGACTAGATGCAGAACAAGTATTTTTAGTCTTGCATCTAGTCAATTCTTCTGCCTTCTTCCTATATCCCATTGTAAAAATAACACTTATTCTTTATAGAGATCTGCTCCTAAAATGCCAACCACTTCAGAATCATGTAATTCCAAAACCTCTTGTATATCTCATGGAACTTCAGTCCACTTTCTTTTGAACTGTCAGATTTAACTATGTGAAAAAAACAGTGCAGATTCCCTCCCACAAGTATGTAAAACAAAGGCATCTACAGTAATTTTAAACTTGAAAGGATGACATCATGCACAGCAGCAAAGAAAAAAATTATACGGAGAGCTTTTCTGCATTAATTCATTTGCTTGCTTGTTCCTCTAATTCTGACATTACACAATTAAGCTGAACATTCCCTGGGGAAAGAGAAGCAAATGCTTAATAAAGAGACTCAGCTTCTAAGAGAGCTGGCCAAGGGTCTAGAAATAGATACTGGCAAACCCAGAAAGGCAGCTGCAGTGTATAACAGCCCTGCCACTCAACTAAGCAAATCAGAAGAGCAAGTTGGATCAATGGGCAGAACTAAGCTTCCACCGGATTGTCACCAGACTGGAAAAATCAGCAACACTGCACACAACTGCAAGGAAAGGTCAGTAAGGAACAACACATAGCAAGTAAGGCATTTGGGGAGAGGAAGGGTTTTAAAACATGGAGCAAGTTCTTATCCCCTCTTTATTGCTTTGGCAAGAATCATATATCTACTAACTGATTATAACATATTTACAACAATATTGGCTGATAAACTAAAAAAAAGATTTTTACATGAAGATCAATTGCACCCAAAAGACAATTAAAAGATAATGTGAAAATTGTATTAGATGTAGTAAAGCAGAGGTCCTGAACCTTTCCGGCTCGGTGGACCAGCAGCAGCGGGAAGTGGCGGGGGGGGAGGGGTGGTAGTTTCGTGCATGTGTTCTGCTTGCACAAATGAAGCTTTGCGCACTCTTGTCCGCTGCTTACACGGGGCGGTTTCCAACAGGCTGCAGCCTG